TACAGTAGAGACGATCACTGCAATGACCAGTGAGACACCGAGGAGAGACAGCACACGTACACTGGTTCTAGTTCCCATAAACATATTATTCTGGCTGTAAGATGTTACAGAAATTTTACAGGGTAATTATATCAAACTACATATTTAGCATAATGAATAAATCTATGCAAAAATTATCTTAATTTCTCTCTATAACTCATTTTAATTTTCTACTTTAAGTACCATTGTATTGTATTTTTATTTAATAGATAAATAATTATAAAAAATTATCTCGACTTTTCTCTATTTTCTATTTAAATTGGTTAACATATTCATACGTGTGGGAGGGCAGCAAATTGAAGGATCACCCTGAACAGTAAGAACTCCAGTTACACTGTTGGGTGGGTGTCCCCACAGACCAGCGGTCCTCTCTAAAGTCTCTTGTTCCCGGTGGTGAGAGAAAATGACTCTGCACTGAAGGGCAGGCGCGTCTCCTGGGTGTCACTGTCACAGCCAGCAGTCCTGTCCCAAAGCTCCACTGTGCTCAACCCCTGCACCCACCGGAAAGTGGGACTTGGTCCCAGAGACTACACATGCCCAACCCAAAGGAAGTAGCTGCAAAGCACCTAGCCTGGGTGCTAGAGCCAGGCCGTCTTGTTTCAGATACCCCTCTGTCTGTCTGTCCTCTGCCAGCCACTTCCACACAGAGCCAGCCCTTCACCATCTGTGTCTCATGCCCACTCACACCCTCCTTCCCAGAAATGCAAGCCGCACGGCCTGGCTCAGCAGCCTGTGCATTCTCCTGTCTCTTCCTCCTCTCAGTGGTATCTGCCTCATCAGAGAAAGGAAGAAGAGGACAGGCAGGGAGCAGAGGAGAGGAACGGTGGTTGCCAGCCCTCTCTGTGTTCCAAGCTTGACCAGCTCTGCCCTCAGAGTGTGCCCGCCCCTGCCCCGTAGGTCGCACACACATAATGCCAACTGTGCTGCAGAGTTCAGGGGAAGAGACTCCACATGTGCATGGGTGTGATTAGTCAACTTTCGCATCACTGGGGCAACATATCTGACATCCACAACTTCAAGGAGGAGAGGATTAATTTGGCTCACGATGCAGGGAATTCAGCTGATGGCTGGCCAGCCCCAAGGCAGAAGCTGCATGGTGGAAGATCACGGCAGAAGAGAACTGCTCATGGCGTGGCAGACAGGAAGCAGAGAAAGAAGGGAAGAGCCGGGAACAAGGACACACCCTTCCAGATCACACCGCAGGGACAGCGCCTTCCTACCAGGCCTTGCCTCCCATGGCACATTCAGCTATGAATTCACCCACGGATGGAGCCACTGATAAGTATAGCACCTCATGATCCAATCACTTTCCACACATGAGGGTTAGGGGGGAACTTTAGATCTAAACCATTACAGGAAGCGTGTGAGCTGGACTTTTAGGGAGGAACAGGGTATCTCTGCATATTAGAAACTAAGGGTTTCTCTGGGGTGGGTAATTGCATATGGATGCAAACACCATATGCAATTTTATTTTGCATTACTCATAATTACAGTTTAAACGATATAAAAAAAAAAAGACAAAAAATTAGCCAGGCATGGTGGTACATGCCTATAATCCCAGCATTTGGGAGGCTGAGGCAGGAGGATCATTGCGAGTTCAAGACCAGCCTGGGCTACAAAGTGAGCTCAAGGCCAGCCTGAACTGCATAGCGAGACCCTGTCTCCAAAAACAAAACAATAACAACAAAAAAACAACCATATGACAGGACCGTTGTCATAGGGAAAAAATAGTGTGATATTGGCAACTTCATAGAGTCCATTGTGACAATGACCATAGCTGAGTTTTTCTGATGTGTCAGCATCTATGACAGCACTCTACACATACGGATTCATGTAATCCCTCCCAAAACCACCCCAAGAGGTAAGTGTCACACTCCCACATGCAGATGAAGAAGAAAGAGTCCCAGAGAGGCTATGTGACTTGTCCAAGGCCTCACAGCCGAGAAAGCTGAGGAAAGACCCAGACTCAGCCCAGGGAGCTCCTGAGCCGTCACTGTCATCCCCCTCCCACCCCTCCAAGTCTGCTGCTGAAGCCAGGGACAGGGCAATGGGTCCTGAGTGGATCAGGCTTACAAAGTATGATAAAAAAAATACAGTGAATGTTTAAATTAAAAATCTATAATAAAAGAAACATTGTCACGAGTCCCCTTCAAAACCTTCTCCCTCATTTGAATCGCACTTACCCCATTTTTCTTGCCACTTTCTGCAGCAGTTCTGCAATCCTCTTTTGTGAGTGTCTAGCTGAGCTGTCGTGGCTGCCTTGATGTCCTCAACTGCTTCAAAACATTTACTTTTCATGGTCATTTTGACTTGGGGAAGAGTTAGAAGTCACATGGTGCCCAATTTGGTGAACAAGCGGAATGAGGACCCCGCACACAGCGTGTTTTTTGAGCCTGCCTTTCCCTCAGATGATCACACCGTGAAGACACTCGGGAAAGAGGACTCCCAGGGCTGCTCAGAAAGTGGTAAGAACGACGGGGTAAATGTGTTCAAAGAAAAGATGAGCATTTTGGGCAACAGCAATGAGCTCTTACTGTAATAGCTTTTTTATTTTAAAGAAAAAAGAAACCTAACAAAACAACAACAATGAAGACAAAGACAACACAGAAACAATAAAAGTGATACATGACCTCAAAACAAAATGATAGGAATTATAACCGTCATAATTTTTAAGACTTAAATACACACCATATTGTTGGATCAGCCCTTGTACTTTAAAGAGGGCTAACTGTTTCTTTAATTGTTAAATGCCTCCCAGCCTGGTCAGGATATTTGGTGTCCTCTTAGCCCACCCTGTTTCTTTTTTCTCTCAGCTCAACCACATAATGCTATAACTGACACATGGCAGATTTAGTTGCTGCCCTTCCAAACTCCTTGACCTCCTTGTTTCTGGGTCCCCGGTGCCCTGGCATAGTTCTGTACATGCAGTTCCCCGTGAGAGCCCCTTCCCAGAGCCAGCCCCGTGGGCACTCACACCCCACCTGCTTCCGCCCAGGGGAGGGAGCTCTGTTTCCAGGGCCAGTGACAACTGGATAGGACCAAGCCTGAAGCCACACACACAACCAGACAAGGTGCCTGTGACCCTCTAGAGAAAGAGCCCAGCATCCCTGCCTTAGTTATTCATCCCGCATGGATTCAGAAGCCTCTTAAGGGCCATGTGCTGGGCAAACACAGAACAAAACATTTCAGCCTCTTGCCACCAAGACACAAACTCCTGTAGATCGGAAGTGATCTCAACCGCGGAAGGCTCCCCTCGGGGCTGTCCACACTGCGGTGCTGATGCTCAAGACTCTGAGAACAGCCAAGAAGCCCAGAGGCAGGCCTCGAGTTGCCCTCCTTCTCACCATTCACTGCTTCCTGCTCCCCGGGGTCCCCGAAGTTCTGCTGTAAATTTCTGCCCAGGGTTGGTGAAAGCAGACAGCTGAGGTTTCTTTCCCGGCACGGAGCTCCAGGTTGGAACTTGGGGAGGAAGGAGGGACGGGTCCCGCACACACTGGTCATGTAATGAGCAGAGCACCAGCTCTGAGATCACTCCCAGGTTGGAGCCCCAGCTCTGCCACACAGAACTGTGTGACCCAGGACATTCATTCTATCCCCTCTGCTCCATCCGCTTGCAGGTCCCCCTCCTGCCCTGTGAGCACGCACCCCACGCCACCTTTGCAGTCGCTCCCTTTGCCCATGGTGCCTTCTGCCTGCTTGAGCTCACAGAAGTGAAAATCAAGTCCCAGGAGGACATCAAAGCTGCAAAGAAGTTTCCAACGCGAAGCGTGTAAGCAGGTAATTCAGCCTGACGTCTGCCAGCCAGAGCAAAGGAGTTCAGGGCCAGGCACCACTGCGCTCCTTTTTTTGAATCCCCAACTTGTGCCAGCACCATAACCAACGCTTTACATGCACGAGTTCGCTGAGCACCCCAACAACCCCTGGAGGCGCTGTCTTCATATTTTAGATTAAAAATTAAGGTATTCACGGAGACCGGAGAGAAGCCACAGGAGTAAGAGGTGGAGAAAACAACAGAACATTGAAATGAAATGAGTATGATCGGTTCCCCCTGAGCAACGGCTGCTTTTTTTCCTTCAGTACCTGTAATGTTCCCGGCACACACAGCTCTGATTTTTATTCTCGTGACGGCAGCAGGCGCCCTCGTCCCCATTTTACAGGGAGGAAGAGTTACACACAGAGTGTGAAATATCACACAGGACTAACAGGGGGCGGGGCTGGGGCTGGAACTCGGGTCTGCTGGACCCCAAAGCTCGTAGGTCAGGTAAGTTTAGTCTGAGAGCCGGTACAGTCTTGCTTGCTGCTGAGTGATTAGGGACCCATCTTGTGGTAAGTACAAACAGAAAGCCTGGGACAAATATAGAGCTACCAGCCAAGCTGTGAGGATCTGTGGGACTAGAGCAGAAAGCAGGAAGGAAGCCACAGGAAGAGAGCAGGGCATTCGGACCGCATTCCCCACTGAGGGAAGGCGGACTCTTCAGTGAGAGGGGAGAGGACTCTGATAACCCACGGGCTCTCGTGCCCCGGGAACAGGAGCAGCGAGATGTTGGGCTGAGCTCCTCAGGGTTGGAGCCATCTTTGCCCCAGCGCTACTGTGGGAAGGTGACTTCCAGGCCAGCCTGCCACAGCGAAACTCAGTCCCCTCTGCATGCAGTAGCCATCAGGCAGAGCCCCGAATCTGGTCTCCAGGTTTTCTTACATGATCTAGCGCTCAAGGGAAAAGAACAAGCCACGCAGCACACAACCTGACCAAAACCAAAAAATTAAAAATAAGTGATAAAAAGAAACCAGGAATGAGAAGCCGGGGGTCACTGAGGAACGGCCAGGTTCTGTTTCTTGGCCCGGTGGTGGTTTTCTCGGGGGCGAGACACTTGGATAACGGGATGAAACACACACGTAGACTTTCTCACATGCTATCCTTTCAATAAAAAAGAAGCATGCAACACTAGTTGACCTCCTCTCACCTTGAGAGATTCCGGTTGAGCTGCCTGGGCTGGCCACTCAGCTTCAGGGACAGGCCAGGGCCCCGAGCACCATGGGCTCTGGAGGACAAAGTTCATTTTGGAATCTGGCAGATTTTCCTGAACTAGAAGAGAATATTCCCAATGAAGCTTCTACACAGGAATCTGTTTTTGGTTTTGTTTTTTTTCCGGTACCGGGAATTGAACTCACAACCTTGTGCTTGCCAGGCAGGCGCTGTGCCACTGAGCTAAATCCCCAGCCCCTAGAAATCTGTTTTTAAAGTCAAAGAATCCCAAACCTTGTAGCTGTTCCCAGCCATGCCCAGATGTCCACAGCCCGTGATGGGTGCCCCCTCCATGCCTTTGAGCTCTGTGAGGGCCACACCCCTCAGGAATCCTGAAATAGTCTGGGGCATCCTGGAGCACTGCCTGCCTGCCTCAACTTCCCCTGCTAGCTGCAGATCCCTGGGGTGCACAAGCCCCCACCTCTGTTCCTGATGCATCCTTGCACACTACTTTTTTTTTTTTTTGGCACCAGGAATTGAACTCATGACCTTAGGCTTAGCCAGGCAAGTGCTTAAGCTGCTGAGCTATATCCCCGGATGTCTGATGCATCCTTGTACCCCCATAGTCTCTGGTGCTGGGGTGCATAGCAACCTCCGTAGAGCTTTCCTGTATGTGGAAATATTTACTGGGGGGGAAAACAGTATTCACAAGGAAACTCCAGGGCTGAGGTGAGTGGGCTTTTCTGTGTCTCGCAGGTTGCCCTGACACTCCAAGGTGAGATAATGGGCCAAGGGAGAAGCAGGGCCCATTGCCTCGTCCTGTCCCACCCTAGCAGAGGGCAGGTCCACCCTGGCCCGCCTGGCCCCCGGTCCTGTGGGCCCGCACTTTGCTGAGCACACACTCTTCCCAGCAGAGGCTGTACTCACCTCTTCCAGCAGCCGCATCCTCCGAGTCCACATCCAGGCGGTGGCTGGTCTGGAAAAAGAGAGCAGGCAGTTACTCTGCGTGCCTGGAGGGAGAGCTGAGCCCAAGCAGGGCCCGGGCACCACCCCGCACCCCCGTCCTCCAGGCCGAGGGGCTCTGTCCGTGAGGGAAGCTGTGGCCCGGGTTCCCACACTCCCGGTCACCACCTCCAAGGAGGCTGGACTCAGAGCCGGCTTTGCCCTCAGGACACGGCAGCAAGGAAACAATTCCATTCCCTTTACTCAAATTAAATCTCCACGTGGAGTCTGAAACAAATGTGTTTTAGAAGCTGCTATAGGCCGGGGATATAGCTCAGTGGCATAAGCACTTGCCTGGCAAGCCTGAGGTCATGAGTTCGATTCCCAGTACCAAAAAAAAACAAAAAAACAAAAAACCTGTTAGAAGCTCCTGTACTGCAAACAGGAAGCAACCAACATATAAATTTAATAATAAAAAAGAAATTCAAAAAATAAAATGAGGATGTGGGGTGCTCCTTCACCTCCCTGGGCTCCTGGTTCATTGCCTGGGGATGCCAGGACATAGACTTGAGTCCCCCTCAGGCAGACCTGCAGAGGCGGGCAGCCACAGGCACTCTGCAGGTCACCCACTGGCCCCAAAGGTGGAACCAGAGCCACCGCTGGGCCCCCGAGGCAGGTCGGAGTGGTTTCCAGCTGCGGCCCGGATCCCACAACCTGGGGCATTTGTGGTGGGGTGGGAGCCCTATGTGCACAACCCGTGATGCCTGTCCCCACCTTCATGCTCTACCTGCATGGTGCCCTCCTGGTGTTGGGCAGCCTGGCCCTGTGCCAAGAAGTCCCTGCTCGTGCACTCTTTCTCAGCAAACTTCTATGCAAACGTCAAGACCTAATCCAAATGCCCCCCTTCCTGTGAGGTCTTCCCCAACTGCTCCTGGCAGAGTTCAGCCACCTGCCTCTCTCGTGGCCCCTCCACGCCGCTCTGTGTCACGGGGCTCTGTGGCTCTGGGTTCTCTAGAATGGACTGGCTCAGGCAGCGACTGACACTGGGGGGCCTGGGTTATGTCCAGTGCCCTCGGATAAGAACCCAACTACAAAGCTGCTTCCGCGAGTCCTCGCTGCCTGCACAGGTGCTGCACAGGTGCTGCACACTACTGTTTACGGTGCTTTCGGTAGAGATGGTCCCAGCTCACAATGGTGCAACTTATAATGGTTGGAGTAACGAAAGTGGCAGAGCAGTGTGAATTCAGCAGAAGCCCGGGGCAGCGCTGAGCTCTCCTGGCTCCGCAGGCAGAACGCGCTGTGAGCCTCAGCTCTCAGCCAGCTACGGTGTCCCGAGGGAAAGCAGCAGGGCCCGTGAGGCTGACCACCAGCTTTGGTAGGTGAGGCAGATGAAGTGGGCATACGGGGAGACCCACTGCAGGCTCCCCTCTGACACCTGCCCCACCAAGCACTGGGTGTCTCTGGACCACGACCTTGTGCACTCCCGGCCTTTGATCATGCTGGCCTCAGCCCTCAGGGCCTTTGCCCCTCCTTCCAGCCTGAAGCCCCCTTTTGTTCCTCTAGGCCTCGGCCATGCACTTCCTCCACCAGGAAACACCTTCGCCTCTCCTCTCCGTTCACTGTTCGCGCCCCGGTTGAGAGCCAGGGCCCTCCCAGCAGGCAGATGCCCTGGACAAGAGGTTGAAGTCTCGCTGGGCTTCACCTCCATGGAGAAGCCTCAAAGGCACTAAACTGGCTTCCGAGCAGCTCTGTCCTCAGCGGGCAAGTGGATCCCAGGCTCCACCCCGCTCCACCCGGACCCCAGGCCCTGGGAGGCTGGCGGCCCAGCATCCTCTGGCTGAGCAGACTGCTGCTTCCGGTTCCGTGACGCGGGCTGGACCGCTGCACCTGCAGGCCCGGGCTACACACCCCAGAACCAGTGAGGGGACAGGAGGGGACAGGAGGGGGTGGATGCACCTTGTCCTCCTCTCTGCTCCCCACCGGCTGCCCACGTGAACGCGGGGGAAATATTCTCAACTTCACCCAAGGCAGAAGCTAAGGAGAAAATAATGATCTGGCCCTTGGCCGTCTGGCTTGGGCCTGGACAGAGGGAATGGCTGAGGTGGATCAGTGAAGGCCGCCTGTCCGGCAGGGACCTGGGTGAGGCCAGGACGACGTGGGCACCGGGGTGCGCATCCCCAGGGACACTCCTGCCCTCCCCAGTCCAGCCTTGAGGCCCAGAACGGCCCCTGTCTGCCCTATACCCCCGAGGCCCATGAGTGTCTCCTCGGATGCCAGCCTCTCCGCTCTGCTCTCAGCCAGAGCCAAGGGCGGCCATCAGGACCGCCATCTGCAGTCCCGGAAGTGACAGTTACTGCCCACAGTGCGGAGTGCTCTGGGCCGGCTCTCTGGCTGGCTGCCAGGGGAGGAGCATCGTCCCACCCTGTCACTGGCTGGGCTGTGGGAGCAGACGTCACGCCTGATCCGGGACCTCAAGCCCCTCAGCAGCCCCAAAGCCGCCCCTGCAGCCCGGGTAACTAAGGCACCTGGGGCAACGCCCTGCAGGGGGCCGGTGGGGCAGCTCCCCTCCCACCACGCCCCGTTCTGGGCCCTGCCTGCAGCCAGCCCGGGGCTCTTGGTTTCTTACACGCATTGCACCTTTTAATTCCACAATTCCCGCAACAACAGCGACAGCCTAGCAGGGGCTGGCAGGTGCCAGGCCCAAGCCACTGCTTGCCACCCGCCTTCCCCCAGCCCAATCCGGGCTGTGCTGGCTCCTGCCACCACCCTCCAGCCCAGTGCCACAGCCGAGAGACAGGCTGCTTGGGGACACGCGTGTTTGCGCAAGGCCTGTATCTGCTGGAGCCTCACCTAGAGAGGGGAGCTGAACAGCACCATCCTCCTGAGGGGCTCCCAGACCACCATCAGCACTCAGAACAGCTCCCGTGCTCGGCCGGCGGCACAGGCTCGGCCCCTCTGGCAGCCCAGAGCTAAGAACCTGGGGCTCGGCTGTCTGCTAGATGCCCAGGAGCCCCTGCAAAAGGCTCAACAGTTCTGTCCGGCACCCTGGACCACCCGTCTCATACAGATGAGAACCCAGAGCTCCAGAAATCCGGGTCTCATCCCAGGGCTCACATGTGTGGGCCCCTGGCGGTTCCTTCATGGCCCTTACTACACGGAGCATCTGTCACCTCACACTGGTCCCCTTCCTCCCCGGCACCTCGGCACCAGGCCTCACTCCAGCCAGCAGGTGCTCACTGAGCACTGTGGCAGGAAGAGGCAGTTTTGTTTTCTAGACCAAGCCAAGGAGGCGTCCTGGAAGGGCTGGTAGCACAACAGGGCCCCCACTGCATCCTCCGGCTCGGCTGCAGAGCAAAGCCACCATTGGGCAGAGATGAGTACGGAGCTCAGGCAGAACCAGAACCGGAAGTGGGGACCTGCAAGGAGCAAACAGGCATGGAGGATGGACTGTCACAGACACAGCTGGCTGTGTGGCTTTTGAAAGTCACACCCTAGCCAGGTGTGGTGGCACACACCTGTAATCCCAGCACTCGGGAGGCTGGGGCAGGAGGATTGTTGCGAGTCTGAGGCCAGCCTGGGCTACAAAGTGAGCTCAAGGCCAGCCTGAACTACATTGAGAGACCTTGTCTCAAAAAGACAAAAAAAAAAAAAAAAGAAAGTCACACCCTAGGCCAAAAGGAGGCATCTGGGTGGAGAACATCCTTTCAGGAAACAGGTGCTTTGGACCAAGGACACTTTCCCTCTTCCTCTCTCAGCCAGGCCCCTAGTGACCCTCTAATTATGACTGGGTCTGATGAACAAGTGAGCTAATGAGCTCAATGGTCCAAATAGCTATGACTCTGAGAATAGGCTGACATTTCTTTATCCACGGGTCCCGCCTGCAAAATACTTCAGCGTGTACAACAGCCTGTGTTTCGCAGGTAATGATGACTGCTCGGATTTATAACCAGTCAGCCTGTCCAACCCCAGGGGACACCTTGGTCGTCATTTCTGGGCCCGCAAGGCTGGAGAGCGACCCTTGGAGCTGAGGCCCTCAGTGCTATGATGCCTGGCTATCAGACAGCCGACCGGTGCTGAGTGACACCTGCTGCATGCGAACTTCCTAGACCTCTGCTGCAGCCCCGCCTCAGTCAGCACGCAGTTATTAGGCACCTACTGCCCCTGGAGCTGTGCCAGGCGCTGCAGCGGGATTTGAGCCTCTTTCCTCACCCTTCCTCCAGCCCTGAAGAACTTGGGCCCCTGGAGCCAAGACAGGAGCACTGGACTTGGAGTCTGCACTCAGGATCCAAGCTCTGGGTCTGACCAAGCTGCCAAGTGGCGCCGCGGGGCAGACCGTGTGGCCCGGACAAGCTACCCGGGGAGGCAGGGAGGTGAGGAGGGCGAGGAGGGGACTCAATCGGCTTGCAGTCACCCAGCGCAGCCCTGCAGGGAGCGGGCACACGGCCCTGGCGGTGTTTACACGGGAGCTGCGTCCGCCCTCACACCATCAGGAGCCCAGCAGGCGCCCAGCTAGTCTGCGTGGCGTCGCTGGCTGGTCCCCAGGAACAGAGTGGCTTGTGTGTGTGTGTGGGCAGCCCTGGCTAAGCGCCCACGGGTGCCCAGTGTGCTGCTGTTCAGAGCCAGGCAGAGCCCGGGCGCGCTGTGTGGCCCTGGCCCTGGAGGCGCTGCACCCCCGTGGCCCAGGTGATGTTCAGGGACACTCCACTCCTGCGCTGCCTGTGTCCGCTCTTGTGGGCCTCGCTCACAAGGCTGTCATCTCACTGCTCCGGTCCTGGCAAGCTTCTCCACGCCAGGCACTGGGGAGACAGACAGGGCTGTAGAACTGCTCCGGCCCCAGCAGAGGGGACAGTCCCCCCACACACGTCATGTCACGCGTGTCCAGGCATAATGGTGCTCAGGACGTGGGGCAGCTCCCGTGGATCTGTGCCTTGAAAGAAGGATAAGAGGCTGCCGGGAGGGCCACGCCAGCTGCCAGAGGGAGTCACAGGGCAAGGGCTGGAGGCACGTGTGACACCAGCCCGATGGTGACACAGTCTGATGTATAACACCAAGTGTCCCCACAAAAAGCCTCGTGTACTGAAGCCTGATCTCCATGCAGCAATGCTCAGAGGTAGGATCTGGAGAAGGCGCTGGATCACAGGGTGCTCACCTAGTCAGGCTGTTGGTGACAGCACAGCTCTCTCTCCTGTCTCTCTCTCCTGTCTCTCTCTCTCTCTCTGCTTCCCAGCTGCCACGAGTGGAGCAATTCCCCCACCACACCCTTCCCCCACAGTGTTCCTGTCTTGCCACAGCCCAGAAACGACAGTACCAAGAGACCATGGACTGTACCCTCTGAAAGCCAACAGAAGACCTTCCTCCTCAGAGACGATGTGCTCTGGCATTTGGTCCCAGTGGCAGAAAGCTGACCTACACAGTGACGCTTGTGGGACACCGAGTCACAATCACTGTCTGTCTGTCCCCTGTACCACGTCCTGAGCACTTTAAAGGATGCCAGGCACAATCCCCACACCAGCCTAGAGCAGAGGCGCTGCACAAAGGAGGAGGCAGCCATGTTGCAGGCAGGGTCAGCCAGCAGAGGGGAGGAGGGGAGGAGGCCAGGCAGGTGGAGGGGGACAGACGTGCTCCAGCCCCGCAGGAAGCTGGGACAGGGCTGTCCGGGGGACCTACCCCTGTGACTCCAGGGGTCAGGAAGGTGGCTGTGTACTCCATCAGTGCCACGTCGTGGACCATGCTCTGTGCCAGCTCTGAGAGTGACGGGCTGGCCGGGCCATGTCTGCACAGCTCCTGCAGTAGGCGCATGATCAGGCGATTCCTGTCGAGGCACTTCTGGACCAGGGACGCCAGCTTGGCCTGCAAAGGGGAGACAGAGGGCACAGGGGGCCTGGGGTGCCTGGCGGACCTGGGGACACCTTGTTCTCCACCTCGGCGGGACTTCAGCCCAGTGCAGCCTCCTCCTCCTCCCCCTCCCCGCCTCCTCATCCCAGAAGCCTGGCTCCGGCTCCCCATTGCCCTCCATGTTGGGTCCAGGCTAGGAGGCAGGAATGGGAGCGTGGGCATGGACACGGGCTCTGTCTCTGCCCAGCTCCGTCCACACTTGTCGGTGTGTACGGCAGGACTGCGGAGGGCACCAGGAGCCGTCACAAGCCAAGCCCCAGCGAGCCTTGCGATTTCATTTTTCACCCTTGCTGGTAAAGCACAGGGGCATCGAGGTCTCCGCGTAAATCGGGGTGCACCCAATGAGGATCGCAGGGCAGGGGCTGGCGCCTTCCTCCGCGCTGGGTCATCCCTTTACGGATGCGAGCTCCGCGGATGCGGCTCTCTGGGAGGGGAACTGACGACCCAGCCTGCGGGGCTCGCAGTTCTGATTTCAGAGCTCAGGACCCTGAGGCCCCCGGAGGGTCGTCAGCAAAGCCAGGTGTCCCCGGGTCCCAGATCCGGCCCACATGAAGGCAGCAGGCTAGCCAACTTCTATGTCGCAAAGGACGCATGAGCCCCTTGGGCCAGAGGGGCCCTTTGGGCTTCTGTCCCAAACATAAATGCCAGATGGGGGCTTCTTTAAGAACTCCCGGCATGGAGTCTGTGCGGCACGGCGTGCGGGAGGGAGCCAGGGAGACAGAGACACGCCTGGGCCCCAAGCAGCGCCCGAGCACCAAACCACCAGGAGCGGTTGCAGGAACGGAGGCCCTGGCATGAACGAGTGTCCAGGCTGGTCACCGTGGAGACACGTTGTTCGGTTTGGTTTGGTTTGGTTTGGTTTGGTTTGGTTTGGTTTGGTCTGGTTTGCAGTCCTGGGCACTGAACTGAGGACCTCTGCCCTGAGCTCCATCCCCAGCCCTTTTCAGTTGTTTTATTTTGAGACAGGGTCTCATTAAGTCACTAAGTTGCTCAGGCTGTGCTTGAAGTTGTGATCCTCCTGCCTCAGCCTCCCAGAGTTCGGGGATGACAGGCGTGGGCCACCACACCCGGCTCTTTGAGGCACCTTCTAGGTTACCCCGTCCAGCAGGAAGGCTGCCCTTGAGGGACTGTGGCACTGAGAAAACAGCCTAAAAGAGGATACCTCAGAGCCTGCAGGGGGTGGGGGGGAATCACCACATCTCCCTCCAGACTCTCGCCCCATAGAGACAAGCAGGCCACGCCTACCGCGGGGAGGCAGCCCCTGCTCGGGAGCGATGGGGGCTCCCAGGACGCCTTACCTTCAGTGGACTCACAGCCAGGCGCGCTTCCCGCTGCTCTCTCCGAAGCTCTTCAAGCTGAAACAGAAGCACAGATGGGCTGCTCCTGGGGGCCCAAGGCCGGCTCTCCCCATCCTGCCTGTGGACCCCACACAGGGTCCTTTCCTGTTCCCCCGGCAGGACCACCACAGGCTGAGCCACTCCAGCGTGGACACTGGGTGACCCACGCCTCCCTGGGGTTACAGCGGCACAACTCCCAAGAGTGGAGCCTTGGAAGCAGCCCGTATGTCCACCACAGGTGAAGGGAAAAAGAAAATGTATTTATACACCTTGGAGTACTACTATGCCATAAAGACGGATAAACTTGCTTCACGTGTAGGAAAATGGGGGCACCTTGAGACCACAATGCGAAATGAAATAAATGAGGGTCACAGTTTAAACATCACACGGCTTCTCTTACATGAGAAGAAACCCAAAGCACAAATACATCGAAGAGCAAAGTAGAAGACAGATGATGGGAGACAGGAGGTGGACACCCTGGACATGCAATGGGGGTGGGACTGGGGGGAGGGGGGGAGTCAGAGGATCAGGGTTGCTGCCCCCCGCACCCACGCACTCATTATGTACCGCAAACGCGTGCTAGTGAAAAGTGCAAACACTTTAAAGACTGAGCTCGTGGGCGCTGTCTCCTCCCAGGCCAGCTCTGAAGCCTCTCCCTTAGAGAAGACCCCATTCCCGGCCCCCAGGCAGAGCCGCAGAGACTGGGAGAGAAACACAGCGGCTCCCAGGCCAGAGGCCGGCAACCCCACCCAGCTCGGCCCCTCGCTCGGGCTCGGGCAGGTCACTGGTCCCCTCCCGCACCGCCTTGGTGTCTTCATCTGGAAAGTGGGGGCAGATCCGGTGAGCCCCACAGTGAGGACGCAGGGAGGCCACTGATGTGAAGGGCACAGAACCAGGGCTGGGTGCGGGCAGCACTCAGTCAGTACCGGCTACTGAGCCAGGTATGGTGTGGTGGCCTGTCATTCCAGCACCCTGGAGGCTGAGGCAGGAAGGTTGCAAGCTCGAGTCCAGCCTGGGCCACTCAGTAACTTAGCAAGACTTGTCTCAAAATTAAAAACAAACAACAACAACAAAAAATAAAAACAAACAAACAAAAAATAAACCCAGCTTTTTAAAACGCCAGCAATAGAGCCCAGTGAGAAGACCCTGAATACAATCTCCAGTGCTGGGTGGGCAAAAGCCACTTCCTGCTGCTGTGGAGGAAGAGCAAGGCTGGGCACAGGCTCCTCATTCAGCTCCTGGTGAGAGGGACCGGGTCAGATCTGCGGCCCAGACCCGGGGTGGCCTGTGTGCCCGGCCCCTCCTCGCGGGGCACAGCGGAAGGGACACGGGTGCCTTTCCGGTCCCCCTCAGGAGGCCCAGAAGCTTCCATGTGCTATCTCTGCTGGGAAGACCCGAGGGGGCCCCAGGGACGGCACCGAGAGGGGGGTGGGCAGGCAAGTGCTGCCTTCCGGCCCCTGCAGGAGGACCAGCAGGGCATGTGTATGCGGGCCACTTTGCGCCTCCAGCCCAGCCGTGTGTCAGAGGTGACCCACAGATGCCTTAGCAAGTGCCATCTGAATGCCTGACCCACAGGATGTAATAAAGCCGGTGCCTTCGAGCTCTTGTCACCCACTGTCCTGCTCCCTCTGTCGTTAGAAAAAAAACATGCTGCATGGATGCGAGTCCCTCTCCCTCCCCCAGCCTCTTCGGACCTCTGATGATTTTTCAGCCTTACACACCTACTTGAATCATGGGGGCGGGGGATATAGCTCAGTGGCACAAGTGCCTGCTTGGCAAGTGCAAGGTCCTGAGTTCGATTCCTGTTCCCCCTCCCCTCCCCAAAAAAGCTGAATGACACCTACATGAATCAGAATGTGTGTGCACATGATATCCTGTACAAAATGTGCTGCATTTGTTCTGTCATTTAATAGACAACTTCTAAGTCTGGGGTGATCTCACATGCCTGTCATCCCAGCACTAGGGAGGCTGATGCAGGAGGGTCACAGGGAGTTCGAGGACAACCTAGGCCCCATAGTGAGCTCAAGGCCAGCCTGCACGACATAGCAAGCCCCTGTCTCAAAAAACGGAACGAAATTTTTGGTGATATTTCCATATCAACACACACAGTCTGACCTTATTCCCTTAAAACCTTGTGTATTCTTTCATCATGAACCTGAAACATAATTAATTTAACCCACTGTTCACGGAGATTCACGTTCTCTTCTTTGTTTTAGAAACAGGCTTCTGCAGACAGTTCTCGCATCTCTTCTGGCCTGAATGCTGAATAGTGTCAGAGACCAACTCCCCCTGAGCAGACTTAGACTGGAAAGGCACTCGGCGATACCCGCGGGCCTCGGGGAGCCTTCTCCACCCAGCTGGGAAACAGGGCATCTGTGCCGCTGTGGGCCTTGTGCCACGCCGAGGCCTCCGCTGTTACAAGTGAGTGAGGACAGGAGGACGCGGGGGCGGCCTCAGGTGACACACCTAGGCCCTCGGTTCCCATCGCTTGTTTCGTGTGGACTCCGGGTTTCCTGTAGGGAAGACTGCGTGATCATCATGCATCCGTTAAAATTAGGTAACTGAGAACTGAGGTCTCTGTGGATTTGCGTGCAGCTGCCAGGAATGATGGGAACAGCCGATTGTGCCGTTGTCCAACTTCCTCAGGGGAAACACCGCGGAGCAACCGCCTCGTGTGCCGGCGGGGATGCGGTCGAGGCGGTCGGCGCCCTCCTCAGCACTCTGCCTGCGAGCCAGGCGCCGGTCTGTGGCTTCAGCCTGGCAGCTCGCGCAGGGTCACCATCCCGAGTGCTCCCCTGGGTCCCTCTCGCTGCCCTTTATAACCTCTCAGGTCTTTCCATGCAGAGGAAGGACGTGCGGCTTTCTTTAAAACAACGTGTGTAGGGGCTGGGGATTTAGCTCACCAGCAAAGCGCCTGCCTGGCAAGCGCAAGGTTGTGAGTTCGGTTCCCGGTACCGGAGAAAAACCAAAACCAATAAATAAATAAATAAATAAAATAAAACAACATGTGTATTCTTTAACATTTTACTCAACAGAGTTGAGTCGGATGGCGAGGTGACGGGCCCCTTTTCTTCCTCGTATTGGTCTATATTCTATTTCATTTCGCTTCCAGGAATTGAGCTCAGGACCTCCTGCTTGCCAGGCAGGCATTGTGCTGCTGAGCTATATCCCTGGCCCTGGTCTATATTTTAAGTATCTAATAAATTGTTACATATGCAGGGTTCAGCAACCGGAGCAGACTGCGTCCTGCTCGGGCCCTCTTGGAGTGGGGACGGCCCTCGCCAGGGGGAAGGAAAGGGGACCCCCCACCCGCTTAGGGGAAGGAAGCGCCCCGCCTACCTTGCCGCTGAGCTCCTCCTGGAGGTGCACAGCCTGGTCCCGCGCAGCCTGCAGCGCCCGGTTCGCCCAGCGCTGGTCCCTCAGCTGGCACTGCAGAGTCTGCACCTGGTGACACAGCCGCTGGACGCACAGCCGGAGGTCTTCCTCAGCCACCTGGGCCTCCGCATCCTGGGAATGTCCGCAGCACAGATTGGGATAAAATGCTTAGGTCAGCGACACCGTGACTCGTAACTCGCGTTAACGAACAGCCGGCTCCTGTTTTCCTTCTTCTTCATCTCTTCTGCCTGCTTACATTTTCCTCAAGGTAAAAACAATTTAGAAAATAAGGGGACAGCCAGAGGTGGTGGTGCACGCCTGTAAGCCCAGCACTCAGGAGGCTGAGGCAGGAGGACTGCCACGATTTCAAGGCCAGGCTGGACTACATAGTGAGTTCAAGGCCAGCCTGGGACACGCATCGAGAACTTGTCTTAAAAAAAAAAAAAAAAGAAAAAAAAAAAGAAAAGGGGGCATAAAAATCACCCTAAACGCTACCATCCAACATAGCCATGTTACTGACCCTATGTTTTCTGCACAGCCTGTGTGCACACACATGGGTTGGGGCTCAGGTTGGATGTCTGAGGAGCTCCTGAGGGGTTGGGAAATCCCAGAATAATATCCTAAATGTTACTCCCAAAACATGCAAAACGGAGTCGATGAAATCAGGGCCCGGCTGAATAGCTGCCCGTCACCATTACACAGAAACACAGCATGACGGATGAAATTCCACACCCAAAGCGAGCATCGGGTCACTCATTCCATTACAGCGGCATGTCAGCCTCTAAGACAGAACATGCTGAATTTCCCACAGGGAAGGAGGTCAATTTTGTCTTAGGTCAACACAAAATGGCCTCTCCTTCTTGGAGGGAGGCAAGGGCAGCGGAGCCATGTGGGAGCCCCGAGGGCTACTGGGAAGTGACCTGAGCAGCAGGGACACTACTGCCCCCTAGTGGTCCTGCATCTAAATCATTTTTATTAACATACATAGTGCAGACACACAGGCACACACACATAGGTGTGCTTATTTTTCCTTATCAAATCTAATAAGTGATACGTGTCTTTTGCTTTCTGCCTTCCCACAGCATGAGCACTTTCTCCTACAAACTGCCGCTGCAGCCGATGCTCTGGCTGGTGTGTGGGTGCCCCCGAGTTCTGTGGCCTGAGACCCTGTGAGCTATTCTGACACAGTGGGGCAGGACAGATAGCCTTGCCCGTGATACCTGAACTGGCCTCTGCACTCTTCCTGAGATGCAGCAGGGGAATTCCACAGTCCAAGGGAGTCACCCGGGGTGGTGTTGGGAAGGAGGGCTCCGCTGTTGCCCTAAAGCTTCCCTTTGGGAAGGAATGGGGAGCCTAGGAACTTGCACATGCCCATCCCTGGCTTGGAGCCTTCCACCTGTATTTAAAGCAGCCACGGAGCATCTCAGGAGGCAGAAAGCTCCTGTCTCCCGCCACTCCTGACCTGGAGGGAGTGGTCAGAGGCGGACCCCAAGCTCCTCTATTGGGAAAGACAGAGAAGGGACAGCAGGGTCAGGGAGCAGAAGCCACGCGATCGACCCTTCAGCCTCTCCCGCTGACAAGGACTGTGACAGCTGAGCGTGATGTACTCTCCATAATTACTAGAAATTCACTCTGCGTGGGCCTGGGCACACAGGCTGGGCCCTGTCAGGAACAGATGGGTGTTCCCAGTGCCTCCGTGAGATTCGGCTCCAACTCTTCAAAACAACTTGGCCTTTCAGGAAGTTCGGCGCCATGCTGCCGCCTCCCTCCTCTGGCGGTACCTTAGACAAGACTTTGTCAGGGGTCCTGAGAAAGCGTTTGCACAGTCATCCGGAGGGAACGGCGGTGGCCGGGGCAGCCTGCCTGTCACCGGGGACCATCCACACAGCAGACAGTAGGAGCGCACACTCCAGCCTCGCAGCACTTGGGCTTGGGACAGTGTCACGCTGCCATCAAGGAACTCCGGCAGGTGGGCAGAGAGACACAGACACAGTGACCTTACCCAGCAAGGTACGAGGAGGCCAGAAGGCCTCAGGAGGCTCTAGGAGGGACTGAACCGGGGCCTTGTTTGTGCCACTGTGGCCAATGCTATGATCCCTGCCTGGGTGCTACACCACTGTGTAGCACTTGCCCATTCTTGGGATGTAAAAGCCCCACCACAACCAAATGCAAACCACCAAAACGACACCAGTGGACTCATAGCTGGGAGGAGATGCATGTGAATCAACTCCAACAGCCCTCATCCCGAGCCCCAACATGAGACCTGAGGATGGGGAGCAGTTCCCAGGAGAAGGTGGGGTGCAAAGAGGGGCAGGGAGGGTGCAGAGAGCCTGGGCTGAGGCTGCAGCTCAGAGTGTGGGGGACCAGGAGTGGACGGGGTAGTGGAGGTTCGCAGGGCTCTGGGCCTGGGCTGTTGCCTATCACGAGAGTCTGGGTTCTGCGCCCAGGGCAGCAGGGAGCCACGTGGTGTTTCAGGACTAAGAGTCGTGTGGTTAGGCCGTGACTTAAGGTGACAGGAAGAGGGAGCTTGCTTCACTCTCAGCTTCTGCCCACCCCCAAGTCCCATGGATTCCACCTCCTGCTGCTGACTCCAAATTCCTCAGCTCTAGGACCCCTCGGCTGTAAGACCCAGCCTCCTCCTCTCCGCTACTCCCTCCCATCCGCCCAGCTCCTTCTCCTGACAGAGACGGTGATCTTCTTACAGCAAGTGCTGGGCTGTACGGCTTTCCTGCTCAAGGTCATGCTGAATACAGAAAGGCCCAAAAGGAGGCCACAGAGCTTCCGGTGACCTATGACATCACAGCTTCTTCATCTCCTGCCAACTGCTCTGGCCCACTACGCCAGTGACACCAGCCGCCTTCTGTCTTTCAGCAAGTCCAGCTCCTCAGAGCCGTGGCCTGAAATGCTCTTTCTCGCTGTTTCTTTCCAGCCGGGAAAGTCCCGGCTCCATAGTCATCTTCTCAGAGTTCCAGCTCCTGCCAGGCCGGCAGAGCTGGCCTTGGAAAACTCTGCGCCCTGGGGAGAACATATAAACACAATGCTTTGCAGACAGTGGAAGGCAACCAAGGCAGGAATACAGTCCTCGAGAAGGAGGAAGCACAACAAGCAACGAGGCAAGCTCTGAAGTTCTCTGGATTTCTCCCTGACGTATTTCACAGACCACAGGGCAGGAAAGTCCTACGTGAGAGCGGCTGCCGCTGGGTGAGTCCCGGCTGCAAAGAAGCTGGGCTCTGCGGGACCCTGTTATGACTGATACATTGTGTCAACTTGAAAAGTTTAGAAGTTTAGCTAAGACTCAGCAGGGAGCCAGAGTCCTCACTTTGTAAACACCAGGAGGCTGTGCAAGAGGAGGCCATGGAGATGGTGTGGATATAGAGGACCCACCTTAGAGTGGTAGCCTGCGTACAGTAGAAGGGAGGAAAAGAGGTTTGTTCTCCCCATTTTTGCTCTTGCTGCTTTTGCTGTCTTCTGCCAGCTTGAACTGTTGCCCCTGTGCCCTGCCACCCTGCCTTGGAGAAAGCTGATGATGGACTGAAACCTCCACAGACTGTGAGCTAAATAAATCTTTTCTTCCTTAATTTTGGGTGTTGGGTATTTTGTCTCAGCGACGAGAGAGAAGTAACCCAGACGGACCCGGAGGAGAGAGCTGCAGAGAAAACATCCACATGCTGTCCTACAAATGTTCCCTGGATCTTCAGCTGAATCGTAAGCCGTGTGCCACCGTGCAAAACTCTACGCTTTGCACAGGACAGCAGCTGGAAGCTACTCATCAGAGATCCCAGAGGCCACATGGCTCTGAGAAGGTGGCATCAGTCTGGCTGAGCCAAGGGGACGTGGCCTTGGTGAATATGCTGCGAATTCAGCCAGTATCATTAAAGGGTCATGCCTAGGGGTGAGGGCCATACGGCAAGCCCGGGGACTGGAACAGACATGCACATGAATAAGATGACCTGCCATCATTTGACTACCTGTCAGTCATTCAACCATCTAGCAGAATGAAACCCACTCAGCATTCCCTGGAGGGAGATGGTAATCAGGGATCTCCACAGCATGTGTACGTCCTATGTCAGAAATTCTTTTAATTCCTGGACATGTGATGAGGCAAGAAAATGTGACTGTCATAAAACAAAATAAAACAGCCAATAGAAGCAGGCAAGGAGATGATCCAGGTATCAGTGATAACAGATGAAAGAACTATAATGTATATGGCTATATGCATAAAAGATGAATAAGATGAATGAGAAGATGAAGTATTTCAACAGAGAACTGAAGTTTCATTTTTAGAAAAGGAACTAAGGGGCTGGGGATTTAGCTCAGCGGCACAGTGCCTGCCTGGCAAGCTCAAGGTCGTGAGTTCAATTCCTGGTACCAGAAAAAAAAACAAAAAGAAAAAAAAAGAAAAGGAATTAAATGAATATCCTAGAGCATCAAAATACAATTACTAAAATTAGGAACTCATTGAATGGATTTAACAAAAGATAGACACAGTGGTAGACATGATTAGCAAATAAAAGAAGGGTCAGTAGAAAATTCAAATTGAAATAAAAAGAAAAAGTACAGTGCAGTTTTCAAAAGATGTGGAATTCAGTAAAAAAAATCTGAATTTCTTGGAAGAAAGACAGTAAAATGAGGCAGGATGAAATATTTGAAGAAATAACAACAATCTTTCAAGTCTGATAAAAGACATAAATGTACAACTTCAAGCAGCTCAGAAAAATCAAGCAAGATAAACACAAAGAAAATCATCCCAAGCCACATCATATTCAAGCTACCAAACCCCAAGGAGAATGCAGTCAGAAACAAAGCAATGTATTTCTTTCAGGGAGGGAAAGATGATTACAACTGATTTCTGAACCAAAACTATGGGAGGCAGAAGACAATGGAAAAAAATCTTTCAAGTGCACAAAGATGGGGAAATACCTGTGTATCCAAATTCTGAATTCAGAACCTTTAAATGAGATGATGGGAAACTGTTTTCATAAAAAGAAGCATGAAGTAGCCAATTATCAGTAAATCTCACTGTAAGACACACCAATCATCTTAAGGCAGAAAGGAAAAGAACCCACAGCCCAAGCATGGGTAGACGTGGGTAAACAGAATAACAACTATATAAAACAACAGTAACAATGCTCTGTAAGATTGGTACACACAGGTATAATCTACATGACAAAAATAAAAGGACCACAAATAATAAGCAGAGTTAAATTATTAAAAGATTTTTTGTGATTTGAGACACAAAAATACTAATTCAAGATAATTAATAGACACATTTTGGAATTTCTAGGGTGGCTACTGAAAGAGTGAAACTAAAATATAGGACACAACAAGCTACTGAAAAAGAAAACAGAAGGCCTGGGGT